AAGTACAATAACGCAGTAAAACTCCACTACTCCAATAACTAGATACTTAAACTCCAATACAATTCAACGAGATCTTCGATCTGAACTCAGTGCTGAAAAACTCCCCTATATATACCCACACTGTCTATAAATAGACCATTACATCAGCATACATAATAAGTCTGGAATTTACTATAAATTTCTAGAATGTTCCATTACCTTCTATTGCCTCCTACAGTGTTCTATTACCTATTCAACCATTTTCTAAAAAAAAAATCTAGAATATTCCACCCAGACACAGTACGGTTCTAGAACATTCTCAGTGACACAGAAGTGGTAAATAAGTCGTATGCGACAATAATAATTAATTTATTTACAGTCATCGGATTCGATTTTTTCTTTTTCTTTTAAATGGTAATTTTGTTATGTGAAAATATTTTTTTTATTATTACTTGGGGTTTTCAACTATTACAATATCTCAGTGCATTTATAAAACCTATGAAAATGGAAATATTTGAAAGAAATTTAAAAGAAATAAATGAAAGGCTAGAGTTTCACAACTTGTTCCATTACACTTTTACAGAGAATAAATGTGATATTCTTCATTTGTCAAAGTTTATATATTTTTTTCACATCAAGTGGTTTAACTTATTCATAAAAATAATTCAAGAACATTAATATAGTACTTGTACACAGTATTTGTAAATATAAAAGTGCTAAGAATTTCTTTTGAAATGTTTGATTAGTATGCTAATTATATGCAAATTAAATATGCTAATTATATGCAAATCAGCGCCCCTCTTTAAATTTTATTTGTGGAGAACACTGATCATAGTTCCTGGGCTCCCTGTCGATTGACCAACACCAAATCTATGCAGTAACAAAGATACTGTAAAACCATGTATTTTCACTACTTATGGCAATATTCACTCGGTTTTAAGTTCACAAATTTTCAAGGGAAAATAAAATAAGTTTTCTTTTATTTATCTACGAATACTGCTAAATTGAAAATCAGCGAATATTAATCAATTTACTCTATGCACAGTCCCTCTATAGAGGGACTGTGCTCTATGTCATGTTGGGCGACTACAAAGGTCAATGCCCTCGCATGAAATGTTGCATCTAAAAAAAAAACATTTTCAAGAAATTTCCTCAGTTTCTTGTACAATTTGAGAAATTTCTTCTCGATCTTATGCATTTCTAGATAAAATCACGTTTCCCATTGACATCGAACACGAAAAGCGTAGTGATTACCGACTGTGTATGGTCGATATCGAACATTTTCAAGAAATTTCCTCAGTTTCTTGTACAATTTGAGAAATTTCTTCTCGATCTTATGCATTTCTAGATAAAATCACGTTTCCCATTGACATCGAACACGAAAAGCGTAGTGATTACCGACTGTGTATGGTCGATATCGAACTGAAGATAAAACAGCTCAGTTGTTTATAAAGTTGCGAATTCTCACTCCACCGGGATTCGATTGGAATGGCCATTTCCCCCTGATTCTGAGTATATAAACACGTGCACACAGGATACTTACAGTTCACATGAAAGGAATATATGTCGTAGAAAACTTCTATTGTTCTGTACAATGTTGTGATGAGCTGCGAGATTGTAGTTTTTAAACCTAACCGCCCTCGCTATTATTGCAATACCATACAAGGCGATATAGACGAGCGCCCTCGGCGGTAACATTACCGATCATAAAAAATATACTTTGCCCAAAGTAATGACAATTTCTCATATCAATACATTCTTTAAAAAAAACAATTTATCATAATATTGTCAAAACTCTGAATACATAAAATCAGAGGAACAGTAATTTATGTTAGAAGATATTTTTGTATCAAAATATATAATTTAACTTTCAGAAGAATTTAGAAGAGTTTAGAGATGTACAAAGCATACATCTTCGCTAGCGAAAGCAGAGCTAGTCGAGAGAACTATGGTACAAGTTTGTAACTACATTTCCTTGTAATCAAGTATCATATTTTGCTTTTAATCACAGGTTCAAAATTAATGACACAGAGGGCGCTGTTAAAATTGATATCTCACTACTATTGGAAGTGTAGAAATTGGGGGGGGGGGGCTGAATGTAAAACACAACTAGTTCAACGACTGCCTAAAATGTTAAGAAATTGTGGCTTTTTTTTTAAATAATCCAATTTCAAATGTTAATTCAAAATACTACACACAAATCACTACTGGACATCCTTGCCAGTTCACATAATAACCAAACGAAATGTCAATACCCACTAGTCTTACAACCTGAGGCAACAAGTCAAGCTGAATTTTGCCCTTTTATATGTTCATTTCCCGTATTCCAAGAGTACAGTTCTACTATCAACACTTGTTAGTCTGTCAAATACACAAACTCTTCAGGATTTGCTCAACCACAGTTGAGGACAAGGTCCAATTGAGTATGTAAGTTTTGACTCTAGTGAACAGACACCAACTAAGCTGAGCCCTGCTAAGGCCAGACTTATTATCCCTTGTTTCGCAAACCCACCGAATGAACAAGAGCCGAAAATGAAATAAAACTAAAATTTTATTTCAGCGTAATTTCTCGCGCCCGCCGACTTGTAAGTGCAAAAAAATGCTAAAAAACTTATTTTTATCTTCATTTTTTTTCCGCCCGCCGCACAACAAACCCAAGTTGCATTTTCGTGGGAGTATCATGATCAAAGTACCAAAGTCTTACGCAGATGAGAAACAAGGTTATACATGGAATAAAATGTTATTTCATTTCTTCTCTCCGATCAATGATCACACAATTATTTGAGAATCGTACAAATCTAATGGGGGGGGGGGGGGAAGAATTTTATTCTTTTTTCGCTCTACTCAAAAAAATTCCCTTATAAAAACTCAAGAAACGAGGAATAAAAAAAGTCTGGTCTAATTATAAACAACCAAAGGCACTTCAAACGACTGAGAATGAGGGTTAGCTTACACCGAGATACAAGGATTTCATTGTTGGTCAGCAGCATAGATAAGAGACCTGATGGTTGAAATGGCTCCATTGATTAGCAGTCTTGAGAATTTTTATCAAAAATGACAAATATTTGCCAAATAGACAATTTAAGATATCATGAAATGAACAGAGGCCCACTCTAAGTACCTACACTGCTATATCAACCAAGTATCAAAGTAATTGAACTAGAAGTTGAAAATAGAATTGTTGACATACTGACAATCGCCTATACGAATAGCTCTGCTGTCATTTTTGATGACTGAGCTAAAAAGATGGCCAATATGGACACCTCAGATATCGTCCACCTGTCACATTTTCAAAATCCATACATCAAGTGAATAGCAGCAAATTCAACTTGTACATGCATGTAGTCTCAACTCTTCCTTGGTTGGAAATTGTATGTCAAAGGAATCTCTATTTTATACTTGCATCATTTGTTGCATACCAGGTAGTTAAAATATCAAACTTGCTTCAGTGAACCACACTTGTAAAAATGTGTCACAACTGTAATTAAGGTTGCATGCAGAGCTTGTTTGATGCAGTCAATATGAACTTTCATTTCTGACATGTTCATACTGTAAAATACATTATTTTAGCTTCAATTAATTTGTTAAAAAAAAGACATTTATGAACACCCAAGCATTGTTATCTGATCTTATAGTGAAATAAAACTACCAAAATTCGTAAGCATACGATATGTCTGAATTTTTTTCATTTATTTCTAGCTATTTACATGCACTTCAATTCAGGTACAAGGCCATAAAGAATCGACTGAGTGGCCAATATCCCACACTACATCATAAAAATGAAACTGACCACCATTATATCATTTGCATACAATTTTATTGCAAAGTAGTACTGTTACTTACACAAGTACAAGAAATTGTGAAAATGTCACTCAAAATGCACAATCTAGTTAATCATGATTTACAAATCATCAAATATACATACAAAATCTGGAGATAAAAACTGTACAAATTCACAAAAAGGTATTTTACATTTTAGATCAAGTTTACAGGATAATTTAATAATGTAATGCAGGTCAACTGGAATGGGTTGGACGGCGAGAAGTAAAATTTAATTTGGAGGGAAATCCATGTATATATACAATTGCATCAGTGACCAATGCATGAAATGATTGATGTAATGAAACTTTAAGAATAGGTAATAACCCGAGTAGCCGAGAGTAACTGATGAACAGCATCAACAAACTGATAACTGGAACTCTTCATTCTATCTATGCCTTGTTCAGTTGATAAATCACATACCATGTGATACAAATCTGCATGGAACTGAAAGAAAAACAAATAAAGCTTAGAAAAATTCCAGTGCCAAGGCAAATTTAATTTACATCTGATAGTGTTTTGATACATCAGGAAAATACCTAATTTGCATAAATCAGGTAATTAATACACATGGATAATCACGTGTGGATTACACCAAAGTTGCATTAAAACCTGACGAGTGATAGAGATATCAAATATAGAACTGAAACTTGGCTAATTTATAAATATTAGATAACTAAAATGAACTGTTATAACTTGTATCACTTCTGTGTATTACCAATGTACTAAGTATCATTGAAATGTGATTGGTTCTTGGGATACCAATGGAGCAGACAGACATGTATACACATAAAATCACAGACTCGCATTCTGTGCTATGCACACGAGACGAGTGAAAAATGTTTGTCAGGTGTAATTTATTATGGTAGATAGTGTTGTGGAAGGAGATAGAAACTATGACTAATATATCTACCTACATCTCCATATCTGTTTAATTCGTTTAAA